TTTATTTATTGCATTTATATGCCGCCCATCTAGACATAGTCTACTCTCCTTGGCAGAGACACAAAGACGCGGTACTGCTGCTTGCAGTTCTTTCATAGTGTCAGCGCTAAACAAGGCCGCTGGGTGATTATTTTGTTTGGGGCACTCATAATAGCAGTTGTAGGCTGTCTTTTTCCACCCCTTCTCCCACTCCTCTCAGTAGAAGTTGCTCCAGTGGGTGCAGGCAGCATTCCTGCAATCTTCCCCAAGTACCTATTTCTTCTACCCTATCTGCATACCACCTGCAGACTCTACCCAAAGAAGAAAAGGATCTGATTAAGCTATAGCAGAACACAAATCCTTGCAATGAAAACCACATACATATATATGTATGGAGGGCAGCCACACAGCTCACAAATCTTATTCTCCTGCCTGATATACCCCAGAGGAACCTAAATCTACTAAAACATTTTCTGTTGACTTAAAATGCGTTAATCTACTAACCCTAAATCTTATTCATAACTATATTGAATAAACAATGTACAATAAAATGTAGAGAATGTAAATGTAAGTTAAGGGTTCAAAAAAGGACACAGAGAAAACTACAGCAATGTAGGCTTGCACCGAAGCATATCCTAATAGCAAATGCTCAGCTTTTCATTTGGAAAGAACCAATGTGAAAAGATACGGCATTATTCTGTGAATTCTGAATATTCCCAAATCCAAAGGCACATCCATATTTTCTACTTCTATGAAAAATACTAAAGTTATTCCTCACTAGAGTTCAGTTAGTGGAATTGAAACATTTCACAATGGAGTCTGAACAAAAGAAACATAATTATCCTGTACATCTACTGATCAGCAGTTTGCAATAGGTGTGCTATATCTGCATCAGCTGCTATTTGTACCTGAATATACAGTCCCTCATCATTTCCAGTTCTAAGCTTAGAAACATGTCTTGATAACAGATCGTTTTTAGAATACACTGATGAATATGGGCAAATCAGCTACCCATTTCACCACTCCTAAAGTATTAGACAACCCACATTGGTTGGTAAGGGTTGGGTCTTTTCTAATCCTGCATATTATGCAAGAAGTAAGATTTGGGTTTGGGTTCCATAAATAAGATAACAGCAGAAATGGTACAATAACAAGAATGACATGCATTTACTAGGTGGCCCTTGGCAAATCTTTTTTTTATCTCAGTGCTTCCCTCCTCACACAATCACATCTATAATATGAAGATAATTATACTGACATACCTTACTGGGTTGCTAAAACAATTATAGAGTATGCTGACTACCATGAAAATTGAAAGGACTGCATAGATTATTATTGTTAACTGAATTTTTATCCTGTTTCTCCAAGTCCTGTTTCATTATGGTTACTTTATCTCCCAGCCATCTTCCCAGGAACCCAAGAAAGTTTACATGGTTCTTTTCTTCTCCACCATTCATTTTCCCCCTCATAACATGACTGCGAGGTAGATTAGACAGAGAGACAATGACCAACAGAAAGTCATAGAATGAATGTCATAGCTGAATGGAGACTTGGATCTGGCTCTCCTCATTTCTAGCCTGACACTAACCACTAGATTACACTGTCTCTCAGGCTAAGTATGATGGGCTTTCCCAACCAAAGGGTCAACAACGCTGTCTTGCCCGGTGCACCTTCACCACCACCGTTATTCTATGACTATTTGCACATATGTATAAAATATCATGTCGGTAGGTCACAGTCTGTCCAGTGGGCATCAGCATAGACGGGAAGAGTCAGTGTTCCTGACACATTTCAGGCACACAACTGTCTTCTCAGAAGTAAATAACACCACACTGCAGCAATTCTGACACATGGCTTCTATCTGGAAAGCTCTAGTTTTACTTGACTAAAAAACTAAATTCACTCCCACACACACACTCCCCCAACTCCAGTGGTCATGTCAATGCTTTACTTTCTGTCTAGTAGGCAGAGAAGGTGCATTTCATGTGCGTTGAATGAACTGCCTCCCCATCTGCATCAAATTTCTAGGCTTGCCAGCTGTGGAGTGGGATGGGGGGGGACCGTGGAAGCTACAAGAAAGAGTGAATTCATTTTAACCTGACACCAGCAGCAGGTAAACTTTTTTCTATATAGACAAATGCAAGGTAATTTGTTGCATGCTTTAGGGAGGAAGGGAGTCAAAAGTAATAAAATAGTCTTGTAATGATAGAACTATGAAACCCATCTATAATAAGACTGCAGTATTAATTTTACGGCATTATGATTCCCCCACTCTTTATTTTAAAATACAAAACGCATTGCCAAACTCCTTAAAATGTTTCCATAATTTTCGTTGCTTGTTTGTTTAAATGGCCATGATAAGAAAGAGCTCTATCACGTAATGCAAACTCTCTGTTGTTTGGGAGAGATATACACATCTTTTATCAATTTATGCAACTGTAAAATGGAAACCTGTGTGTACCCAAAGAAATCAGTAATAAAACCCCTGTGGTTAGCCACAGTACTTAATTTTATGGGTTGGGGGTTTCTTTTTCTTTTTCTTCTTTTCTTTTTCTTTCTTACTTTTTTTTGTTAAGTGAAAGGCATGAATGCTGTAAGAATTCCACATTCCTCAAGTCCTGCTTTTCATTTGGGGTTGACAGGCAAAGTTCAGAACACATCATTATGGGGGGTTCACAGTCACTGCTAAAGGTAACACTCATATTACAAATGAATTAATAGAAAACACTTACCTTCCCTACCAGCTTGCCTTTCCTGTTCATGCAAAGGTAAAAGTCTGTCTCTTTCCCTTTGATCCGGACTTGACTGCCAAATGTGTCTGTTTCCACTAGAAGCTGGGCTTGTAAAGGAAGAAAAGAAGAGGAAGAAGAAGAAGAAGAAACAAAACAGGCATTTAGCAGACTGATCACAGAACGAACGAACGAGCGAGCGAGCGAAGAGGTTCTCCAACACATTCTGTCAATCAGAGAGGTGAGACAGTGTATCCTTGCTGCATCATTGAAATAGGAAATGGGGATTGGGGGAATAAGCCAAAAGAAAACACACAAGCCCTCAAGGATTAGCTATAATTATGGCTACTATGTCAACACAATGGCAGCATCATATTCCAGAATATTCATAGACAGATATGTGAGATACTTTCATTGCAGTTAATGGAACTCTGTTGAACTGGGAATATATTGCATTGATGCCATAAAACAAACCACAGCCATTCAAAGTAAGTGCCATCTGGCAACCCGTGACTCCAAGATTGCAATGTGCACCAAAAAAAAAAAAGCAATTCCATCCCTTTTAGGTCTTTCTCAGCCTTAATCCAACAGAAGGAAACTTAATTCGATTTGGGGGAGGAGGAGGTTCCTAATGCAGTTATACTGCACTTGTGCAGAAGGGGAGTAAAGAGGTTTGCAGGAGACCTGGCTTTGTCATGCCTCCAGGTGTGGCAACTTGATTCAGGCAACCCTACAAGGCGGGGGACCACTGAACACACAGGAATAGGCTCCTTGGTAGTATAGCAAGATTATTTGTTTTTAATTGTTGACCCTACCAGGGGAGGAGAGGGAACCCTCCTGGATCCATCACCAGGAGGCAAGTGTCTCATAGTATCCAGGAAGGATGGCTAAACAGACTGGAGTTAATATTTCCCAGAGTGCACTTTTCTGAGAAAGTCTCAGAGACTCCCCTTTTCTTTTTCTCCTACCTTCATCCGGCAAAAAGGTGGTTGCTTTCTGGAACTGTCCTTTATCATTTTTTTGTGGCTCTCCTCAGGCAACAACAAAGCTCCTGGCACCAGGCCCGAGGTATCACAGAGGATGCAATATGACCACCATGTTGCCAACATGAACTGGAGCATCGACAATAACAAATGAATTCATGCAGGACAAAAGAAAGATGTCACCTTATGCTGATGGTAACTTCCATTCCTATGAGATAGAAAAACCTCCTCATGCAAGTATCCTCGGGCATCCCAGGGGCAACAGTGTACAGCTGGCCTATCTTACCCTTCCAGAAGCATTGGACTGCAAACTTGCTGATGAGCAAAATGACCCAAGGGTCCCTTTAGGACCACACATGACAATGATTTCTAACATTTTAATTTGTTTTTTTTTTAATATTTACCTATATTTCACATATATACATAGTTGTGCAATGCTCTGACATTAACAAAGAAAGAAAGAAAAGACTTCCATTCATGATAAGCTATTGATGACTTTCTGCCCCTGAAAAAAAACACAATGAAAAAGTCCCATCAGTTTCTCTCCACACAAACCGTGTGGGGAATCTCAAGACACCATTTGCACAGAGATCTGATTGGTGGTAACTCTGTCTTTGGCTGACAGTCTTCTTCATTCAGTAGGAAATGCTAAGAGAAGGAACCAGAGTTAAGCAACCTGGAAGGTAGTTGCGTAAGCAGGGTTCCCGAAGGTCAAATAAGGAAGGACTCAAGACTTCCACTGACAGAAGAGCAGAATCCAGCAAAGGTGGGAGGGAATCGGTCCCCTTCCCACTACGGCAGAATCCAGCAAAGGTGGGAGGGAATCGGCCCCCTCTTCTTCCCACTATGAGTCCACATGCACATTCAAAAACTGCCCTAGAAGACTAGAAAATCCTCTGGAGCCCAATATTGGGCATCTCTAAGGACTGCATGGAGGGAATGAAAATAAAAGGGTACCAACATCATGTTGGGTTTAAGCCACTGGGACGACAATGAAGAATTACTGATCTCATGGTATCAAGCACCCCCACAGACTGCAAGAAGAATCATATGCACTGCACTGCTCTAATGGAGAGCAAAATTTATTTGTGAGGAGCTAAAAAATCTAATAGCATTTCCTATTAACATAAATATGTAACAATTCTCATTTCATTCACCCCCTTACAAGTTTTTTCTCTGGTGCTTCTTGTTAACTTTTGTAACCCGTATATTGTGCTGCCAGTCTTTTTACTTGCAATGAGGGATTTAGTTTGTGACAGTTAATTTTTATTTAATCAGTGTTTTATATAATTTATGTCTCTTCATTTCTGTTGTACGCCGTGCAGAGTAGCCATTTGCTAGGCTGGTGATATATAAAAAACAATTAAAAACACTGATGTTTCGGCAGGCTTTCCCCTCAACCAATTCCTGATTTCCCCTCTTTTTTCCTCTCTCCTAGTGTCTGTTCCATCTTGTCCAAAGTTTGTCCTCTTTTTAAAATTGTTTTAATTATATTGTATCATGCTTGTTGTAAGCCGCCTAGAGTGGTCTTAAGTGACTAGATAGGCGGGATATAAAATAAATAAATAAATAAAAATAAATAAATAAAGCAAATAAGTCAGCAAATAAGCAAGCAAGCAAGCAAACAAACAATCCATGCAATTTATCAAGCTGGTTCAGAACTCTCCCTAGCATGAGGATAAAGCCACACTTGGAAAAGCACATATAAGGTGTTAAGAAGGCTCTATAACTGTCAGATCTACTTGTCATTCAAAGGATACATTTTAGTGTAGCAGGAAAGATCAGAAGAGCACCTGCATGGGACCTACCTTCTCAGTTGAAGACCATTTAATTCTATGCAGTCGCATGCTCCGTAGTTAAGGTGCCTTCAAAGGGCACAAGAAGCCAGGATGCAGAGGAAACCCTGGCCTCCCAGGAAGGAGCAGCATAGTTGTGCATTCTGCCGTTCACTTGCTCCCAGCTGTAGGCTACACTTACACCCAGCAGTGGCTAAACAAAAGCTTCATTTAGAACTTCATTCTATGGCTGCATGATTGGGTCCATCTAGCAAAGGTCAGCTTCCTCATGTTGTCGCCCCCAAACCAGAGGAAATAGTTCAAGATTTCCTCTGAGCTTCTTTTTTGGGCTTGTTGGGAGGGAGAAAGCAAGCTAAAGAAGTGAAGCTGCCTGCCATAGAAAGTACCCACCACACAAGGCTGCCCTGAGTTTTAACCCCCCTGCTCCTGATGCAAGCAACAGCATTTGAGTAGTGAGCCTCACCACACTGTCCCTTCATGACAAGCCAGGCTTCACTCAGAACTCTGCTTTACTGGGTCTTGTGAAGGAATGCTTAGAATCCCATCACAGGTGAGCCTGGATTGACCTAACCCTGAACATAGACTGGAGGTTCAGTAAAGAGGGGTCTCATTAGAGGTTCCTCACACAAGCATTGACCTAGGTGGCCTGATAAAAGCAGGTGGCGTTGACTCTATGGAGATGTATACAGTAGTACAAACTTTCAGGAGTCTGTTCAGTAGTGACCAGTTTTTTAGATGCAATCATTTTCAAGCTAAGCATTAGAAAAAAATAATAGAATGTCCAGGATACATGGGAAGAGAAAGCAAGGATCTAAGGTGGCCATGGTAGACAATGCTTGCAGTCTAAAGAAGGTATCTACAAGGAATATGGGAAGGACCCTTTGGGTGCAAAGATATGCTTTTGACAAAACTCCTGGGGAAAGGTGTCTTCCTGAGATCCAGGAGCGCTGGTGCCACTCAGAGCAGACACCATAGAGCAAGGCGGGGCAGTGGTCCACACCAGCAGAAGGGAACTCAGTATATCTTCCTGCAAGTTACAAATGATCCACTCTCCTTTTGTTCATTCATGTTGCTGTATTCATACATTGAGTGTAGTGTGGGACTTGGTCCTTCAGCTATGTCTGGTGTTGATAAAAACAACTTTTGGCGAACTTTTGTCTTATAGATTCAGCAATGCAGCATAACAACAAAAAAGATTTCATATCACCTCCATCATCCTGAGCCAAAAAGTTGATATCAGTCCTTTAAGCGAAACAGGTCTGCCTCTTTTAAAATCCACATTGGTCTCCCAGTTCCAAAACATTCTCACGAAAGCTATGTCGTTTCAAAACTACGAGATACATCACCTCACCCTCAAACTAAAACAAGTATGAGTAATACCCGGGCTGATTTTAATTTGAAAAATATCACCTTGAATAGATGCCGGCTCCCTGCTGTTAGAAATTAAAAACATCTGGATCGCGTGATTTCCAATAATTAATCTAGCTCTCCTTTGACACTGTTACTAATTAAAATACGATACCCCCTTTTTTCAAGTAAAGAATTTAAATAAATTTTAAAGAGCCAATAAAATAATGCAATAATTTTGGAAATAAATGAAAATTACCTTTCCTCCTCCTAACCTAGGCTACAAAATACTGTAGCTGTACCTTTATACTAACAAGGACAAATTAAGGCAGAACTGAAAGCAGGCAACCTTTGTGGGAAAACATCAGAAACAATATCCCTTCACACACAAAAAAACAAGGACCAGTAGAGATGAAATACAATTATATTTAAATGCAAAAAGCAAAGATATTTTAAAACAAAGTTTTAGAGCAGTTATAAGAAATGTGTGGCCTTCCAGATGTGATCGCACCAGGACTCCTGTCACCCACAGCCAACATCTCAGAGGGCAACACATTCCACACAACCTTGAATTTATTTTCATAGAAGGAAGAACCTCTGAGTTCAAGGAATAGGATCCTGGTGTAAATCTGTTAGTAGACATCCAAACAACTGATCCTAAGGATCACAGAACCAGCTCTTCATGTGAAGTGCACATCTAATGGTGCACAAACATCATTAGATCAAGGCAAATGTACAGCTCTGTAGTGGACAGGCAGGGTGGATAGCTCAGTGGGATAGGTGTCTGGCTGTGGAGCCAGAGACTGGGAACTCCATTCCCCACTGTGCCTCCTGGGAGAAAAGCCAGCCTGTGTAGCCTTGAGCAAGCTGCATAGTCCAAAAGTGTTGCCAGATGAAAGAATAATTAACCACTTCTGAGTATTCTCTACCTAGAACACTCTGGAAAAGATTGTGATCAGTTAGAATTGACTTGACAGCATGCTA